TTTTGAATTACGATTCTTAATGGTTTTGGTTATCTCTATAACTGAAAGCTTATGTAAATTTTTTTATTTTTGTGTATACAGATATGGGACGAGGTACTCGAGGTGAATCATCGTCTCAAGAAGCCAGTAATACACTAGGTAAAGCACAAAAGCAACTTCGGCGACTTATTCGTGGGCCTCGTAAGGCTATTCCCACACAGCAGTAGTTGCCTAGTTTGAGCCAGCCTCCCTAACAGCAGCAATTGCCTACTTTCAGCCAGCCTCCCTCACGGCAGCAATTGCCAAGTTTGAGCCAGCCTCCCTCACAGCAGCAACTGCAGCAACAACAGCCCACTTTGACCCCCCGAGCCACACAGCGGCACCAGCCACAGTTGCCAATTCCTCTCCATCCACCCTCGCAAGTGCAGCAGCAGCAGCCTTAGCCTCCATTGCTTGATCAGGAGCTTGGTGATGAGGCAGAAATGGAGGAAGATGCAGAGGCGCTAATTGAAGAGCGTAATTTAGAGGCTGAACTTGCTAGCTTGATCCTGAGTTGGATGCTGTACTTGAGGAGGAGCTATCTCATGCTGGCCAGAAGACAGGACGTGGCATGGATAAGGGGGATGAAGCACCGGCAGACCCAAGTCAACGAAAACTGTTGAAAATAAATCAGCATGGGTCATTTAGCAATGAGAGATTTGGCAGGACAGCAACAGTGATATGGAAGTTTTTATATGATGAACCTATGCTTTTCTGGACTAATTGGCCAAAGGAAAAGAAGATGCTTGCTTGGGAGATGTTCCAGGTATGAAAATACGATTCAAATATTAATAGATTTTGATTATAGGGATGTTGATGCTGGGAATTTGGTGTTGGTGATAATTCTATGGATGTGTTTGATAATTTAAATGTTTTTTTTTCGTTTATGGTTAACAGGGGGAAAGTTGATAGCTTAGGTGCAACTCTGCACTTTTTAAAATATATGTATATATATATAAAATCTATTATCCATTTTCATATGGATAAGTTTAAAATAGTTGAGATATTGATTATTGTGATGTTGCTACCTAGAATTTGGTATGAGTGATCGTGATATAAATGTGTTAATTTTTTATTATAAAAAATTAGTATTAATTAGTTTGTGTGCTTTAAAGGTGTTGATATTAATGTGTTGAGTTATTGTATATTAGCATAAAATTTGCTGGACTTGTTGAGTTGTGTATTCTAACAGATGACATGAGATTTGTATTCTACTAGAACAATATTTGACATTTTTTTCTCTTTTCTAAACAGTTTCCTTTGTGTAACATGTTGCTCATTGATGGCAATTTTTTTTTTCCCGCTAATCAAATAGGTGCTGATTTGTTATGCATTGCTAACACATAGTGTAATATCCCAAATTTTCGGGAATTTTATCATTTAAGTTAGGGACTTGATTGTGAGAAAATATTGTTTTGGGCTTAATAGCCAAGATTTGCTAAGTCAAGGGGCTTAAAAGAGTAGAATTTGGATAAGGATGGCTTATTTCTTTTCTCCCTTTTCCTCTTTCTTCTCCAGCCCGTTTCTGCTCGTCTTCCCGCTGCAACCCGAAGAAAAAAAAAAGGAAACCCAGCCATGCCTTGAGAAACCGGTGAGATAAGCTTGGTTTTGGCCTTCTTTTCTTGCTCTAAAACATAGATTGGAACCCAGAAATTCTCCCCCCTGCAGGAGTTCCCGGATCTGCTCTGTTCTTCCTTCCCTGTCCGCCGGCTGCTCTTGCTTGTGGGTGTGATTTTCAGTCTTTCTTGGTAAGAAATAGCTCGAATTCTCCCTTCTTTAGCTTTGATTTCAGTTGGGCTCCTTCAATTTTGGGTTAAACCGTGAGTCCCCTGCAGAATTTTCCTTCCATGCCGCCGGCTCTTCCCCAAATTGCAGCTCCGGCCTTGCTTGCTGGATTCTGGTATGTGGCAGCCTTTTAAGGCTTAAATTGTCCATTTAGTTTGCTGCCTTGTGTGTCCGTGAATTGCTAGGAAAATGGGGGAATTCCGGTAGCTTTAGGACCATGATTTAGCTTTAGCTTAATTCAAGTGGGATTTATGTGATTGAGTGTTAATTGATTGTTGTGTGATTTTTGGAGAGAAAATCCCGTGAAATTAGCTAGTGGTTTGGGTAATTTTTGGAAGTGGGAGTTACTGTTCACGTCGTGGTTACTGTTCACGGTACTGTTCATGGCACTGTTCACACCCCGAGGGCCAACAATTATCGGGGATTTAAATGATTAGCTTGTGATATAAGAACGAATTTGGAGATATTTGATTATGTGGAGATTGATAGGAATAGCATTGTGATTAGGAATGATCCTAATGATGATTTCAGCTTGAATGTGTGATAGTCCGGTATTAATTCTGAGGTGTTTTGATTAGGTTCCCGATCGTTCTGTCAGTTAGCATTGAGATTGAGTGCTCGGTTTTATGCGAGTGAGGTAAGTAATTTATGGTAATGCCTGTACTGTTTTTAAAAGCATGTTTTGATTTGTTTTTGAAGTGGTGGCGGGACTAAACCCGTTTTACATGAGCATGACTGATTTGAAGTGAAATGTCTTATGCTTTTCATTAAATTGAGCATGCCTACTTGGAATTTAATTGATTGTCCCGATGATTTGAAAGTGATTAGTGAATTATGAATTTTCTGTTAACTTCTGCCTGTTTTGTCTCCGATACGGTCATGTTATTCTGTTGCCCGCTAGTGGGAGGTCAAACGCTAGCACATGTCGACATGTTCCTGATAGAACCGGTTCGTTTCTGTAATCCTGCTAGTGGGAGTTAAACACTAGCAATTTCTGTTGCCTGCCAGTGGGAGGTTTAAACACTGACCATGACCTATAGAGGAGACGTCTATTTCGTTCCCGCACTGTATTCGTTTTTCGTGATTGTACTTGTTGGCATGCTATAAGTTTAATAAGGGCACTCCATATTTTACTTACTGAGTTTATCACATAGTTTTTCCTTGTCCACCATTTCAGGAAGTGAAACAAGGACGGGAAAACCACGGGAAGTGACGAGTTAGAAAGCTAGCCATATTGTAATTGGATATGAAATTTTAGAAACAAATCATGATTTTGTATTTGGAGATTTTATGATATGAGAGAGAATTTTAAAGATTTGATCTTCAGACTTGATGGTATTAGATTGTGGCGTGATAAGTTTCGAGCCTTGTGCATTTGTGGGACCCATCTCACGAGTGCACGGCGTCTGCCACATTCCCGGATTTGGGTTCTGGGGCGTGACACATAGCAATTTTCATAAGTGGTCTATATATTCTTTTTTATGAATGTCAGTGATTTATATTAGAATAATATTGCTCATAAAATTATTTATAAATATAATGTAGTACATGTTGTATTTCATAATAGCAATGTGTCAACCCAATTTTAATCGGATATCTTATAAAAGTTTCCAAAAACTTATAGATTAATTAAATGATTGGACTTAAATGTGTGAAACTAAAATGTGAAGTTGTGAATGCCAGGGGTTGAATAATAATATTGGAAGTTAGTGGACCATACTGTGAAAAAGCTTGAACCATAAAGGGCTGAGAGGAAAATTGGCCAAATGATGTGGTTTCACTTTCAGGATGAATTTAAAATAAAAGGCCTGGGTTCAACTGAACCATAGCCATCAACTAATCTTCCAAAAATCACAAATTCTTTTTGATTTATCTTTAAAATTACTTGAGTTTAGATAAATCATAGTATCAAAATTCTTGATATTTTAAATGTTTGTTTTCTTTATGATTAACAGGGAGAACGTTGATATTTTAGGGGAAATTCTGCCCCTTTTTTTAGAAAATCAAATATATTATCAATTAATTTAATTAATTTTAATATTGCAGAAGACATATTGTTGGGAGGAAGATGATGTTCGTGTACGCAGAATTTGGAGAAAGCACTGCCGGAATCGTTTTCGGGATGAGCTATATCTGGTTCGAAAGAAATGGGAAAAGAGCAAAAAATTACCTGAGTTCATGCATAGAGACACCTTCAAAATATTGCTAGCAAAGTGGCGGAGCCCACAATATATGGCGCTGCAAGAGAGGGGTCGCCTAAACCGAGCAAAGGGTCCCCGTGTGACTCACACTACTGGATGCATTTCAATGGCGATACATGAAGATCGGTTGGTTAGTATTATGTGGCCTTTTTATATATACTTTTATATATAATGCTGAATGTTATCAATTTTTAATTTTTATAATATTTTAATTTTGAACAGGCAGCAAAGCGAGGAGGAGTTAGGCCATCACAGCTAGAGACCTACCTGTTTACTCACACAACTCGCAGGCCTGAAGGTCAAGAAGACGCATCACCGATTTGGGTGTCTTCAGAAGTTGAGCAAACATATGTAAGTATCAAATTCCTTGATGATTTTTTTTTTATCAGCAATATTTTATTTTATTTTGTATTAATTTATAATCGGAGTACAAGGGGTACCCCTACCCATTACAAATACAAGATCACCTCTTATAATAATATTACTTATTCAAAGCAAAACAATCTCCACAATATGAATGTCAGCTAATTTGCTCACACTTCCCCTCATGATAAAGCCTGCTTAGGGAAGGTGCACCAAGTATCATGCTGTATCTTAGGTTTTAACTTCACCTTTATCCATGTAAAAGACGTAGACTTGATCAATGCTATCACTATGGTTGTTGTGCCTTTTCCTTCTTTGAAAACCTTCTGATTTCTCCATAACCAAATTGACCAGATGATGGTGAACCAGAATATATTCCATGCTGTTCGTAATTTGCCATTAGAAACTAGTCCTGAATGTTGCATAAAGTGTTCCCATCCTCCCTCTTGTGTAGCTGTCGTGATGCCCCACAATTTATAGCATCCAGTCCATAGGTATAGGCTTTTTTTCCCTCATTTTTTCTTACTGAGTTGCATGACTTAAGCACTTAACTAAATTTCCTTTATTCAATATGTCTAATGCTACTCATTTCTGAAACAAGGTTAAATATCCATTGTCATCCCCCATTCCTTTTTTTTTTTTTTGCAAAAAGTGGGAATCAGGGAAGTAATATTGAAGGAAAAAGTTCCTTCGAGAGACAGAGGGGTGCTTAATCTTCTCTACCCCATCTTGCCTAGATATATCATGAGAATATTGTTTTCCTAGCATTTACTTTAATTTAAGCGTACAAGGCTAGCGTTATCTTGTTAGTTTGGAATCTCTATTATCATGTCTCGGTTCAAAAAGTTAGCTTTTCTTAGCCCCTTCTCACAAGAGTATATAACTTATTATTTGCAATTATTGAGTAGTACTTATGAATGACTTTTTTAATTTGTGGTTATGCATTTGCTAAAATCAAGGGACCAATTTTTTATTTATATAACAACTTCATAAAACTGTATGCAGGGAACGTTACCAGGATCTCTTAAGGCTTGTATTTATTGCTTGTTTTTGTATAAATGTCTACTTGAAGTTTAGTGGTTGAAAACTTGAAATTAATAGCTAATATATTTTGGATGTATTTAAATGAGGGAGTCAATCCTTTAATTTGATATAATTATTATGAATTCTAGTTGAATTTGGAAAATACATACAAAAGTCCAATTGGGGGATGAATCTAAATAACCATTTTCTCTATACAAATATTTTGTAGTGCAATATGAATGTATTGAATGAATAAGATCTGTAAAAGTGGCATAACTATTGTAATTAATTAAATTGTGTAGTTTTAATTAAGGAACCAATTGCTTTTTAGAAACCCATTTTATATTAGGTTAAAGCCAACTAAGGTTCTTAAACTATTGGTTTTTGTTCATTATCCACCTCTATCCACCACCTTCCTGTGCATGGTATCCATCACATTGGGCAAGGAATTGGAGAACAGCATAGTTGGCATAGTAACAAATCTTCACGGCACATTTTCATACCTCACGTGCCAAATAGCCATAGATTCCAATAGGTTTGTGCCACTGCTCCCTATAATTTCTTCCCGGCAATCATCTCCCTTGTTAAAATATATGTTCTCCCTTTTAGTGGTTGCCAAAAGTACCAACTCTTGACTCACTAAACCCCCACGAGACATTCGCCATTTGAGATGTAATTCATCAATGAAAAATTCCTCAAGAAGCACCTCAATTGAAGTCAAAAGAGCACCACTGTCCCAAAACAATCAATTTTTTGCATATCCCATAAATCTCTGCCATTCATTATGTTACCATAGTCAAAGCCCCTAAAATAGGAATTTTGTTCTCCACCCTGGAATACCATTATAATAATGTTGACCCATAAAATTTCACCAAGGATTTCTAAGCATTGGATTTCAAAAAACATGCGACATTTTCCCGATAGCAAAATCAAGGCGTCTATTTGAAAGGGTTTCCCTTCTAGCCACCAACTAAAACTCTTATCCATAATGATGCATACCAAGAAGTTTCCAATTTTAACAATGCTACTAGAGTCATCAAATATAAATATGGATTTCACCTTCCCATTTTTCCATCCGAGAAAGTAGAGCCTCCTGTTCCAATACTATCCTAGGAATACCCATCAAATTCCTTGATGATAGTTATGATAATTAATATGAACACAAGTTAAATTATTCTAACTAATGAAAATTTATATTTGAAATAAAATGCTACTCACCAAAAGTATGTGGAAAAACATGGGCCAAACAAGGAGGTATGGCCAGGGTGGGATCCAGAAATTTGGAAGGATGTGGTCGGACCCCCTAAAAAGGGTTAGATGAGAGGGTTGTCCACACTTCAGGACCCAATAGAGCATGGCATACCGTGGCGACGATATGAGCTTAATGAAGGCTCGTCCTCTACCACCAGGATGCTTACGACACAAGTCCATCAATTGCAAACTGAGCTCGCACAAGTTAGGCAAGAAATGGCAGAGCGAGTACAATCAGAGATTGCACGTATTCAGTTAGAGGAATCACAGAGAGTTTCAGAAATGGAGGCTGCGTTTGATAGGAGAATTCAACAACATATTGCATTACTTAGCCAGCAGTATGCATCTATAGGACTTTCGCCATCACAGACTGTTGGTCCTTCACAGGCTAGTGGTCCTGCACAGGCTGGTGGTCCTCCTTTAGAGGCTAGTGGGTCCAGATTTGATCATTTATCACCACTTACTTAGGTAAGATGTAGAAACTTAGTAATTAATCTTTACAAACAGAAATTGAATTAATCTTGGTGACTTTGGCAATTGTAGGTGGAGAATTAGAATAAATTTGGTGTTTAGGAAATATGGAAAGATAACATTGTTTATAGTTTTCCATTAAACCATAGGATTTCTTTGTCAAATTTAAGATTTGGTAATTTCATTGCATTATATTTATTTTAATAGAGATTTATGCTTGATATTGTTTATTTTCTCTTCTTAGGTTCTCTCTGTTTGTTGGGATTTTGCAAGATGAAGTGGATCCAAAGGAAGGGAAATGAAGGTTGAAAGACTCCCGACCAAGATGTTGATATAGGTGGTTTGGATGCTTTGATTTAAGAGGAAAAAGGCAGTTTAGCTACTTTTGACTCATCATGAATGTTGTATTAAGCCTTATAAGGATGTCATATTGTATATATGATGGTTTAATTAATTTTAAATGTATAATATTTTAGTTTATATTAATCAATATATAATATTCATTAAAAAATATTAGATATTAATGGCACATTACTATCAATTTATATAGGATTGTGTTGGCTAATAATCTGGTTTATTGCCTTGGTGTTTGAGGCTAATGTAGGTGAGGGGTCTGAGAAATCAATTTTTGGTAATGGTCATGTTTGCATGAGGTTTATGCAAGTTGCAGGTTAGGTCTGAGAAATCCACTGGCAATGCAAAGGGGTTAACATATAACCGACTACCAATAGGATGTCAATTATATAAACATAACCGACAATATGAATGTCGGTTATATTACATAACCGACAGCCTTTAAATTTCGGTCGGTTATAATGGAGCCCGCCCAAAATGTCCGCCAAATTAGGTTGGGCAGGAATTTAAAAGACTATATTCGTCATAAGTTCTGTCGAAGATACTTGTTTATATACCCGCCCCCATGTTGCCCTATGTCACTTCTTCTGAAAGCTTCACCTACGTTTCCCTTCCTTTTTCAATTCATTCTCAAACGTGGCGCCCCAATTTTTTTTTTCTCACTGTCTTCTTCTTTTAACTTTTCATTTTCCTTTATCTTTCTTCTTCTTCCTTTCTAGCTCTTAGTAATTGCATGGTTCAATAGTTAAATGGTTACTTTCCTTTATTAAATCTTGCCACCTTTTTCAGTTTCTTTAGTTGGTTGTAGTCTTCTGCCACCTCCACCTTTTTTCATATTTTGTATCAGTTTTAAGGTTTGTTCTTTATTCTTTGTATTAATCATCTAATTATTTTAATAAGATACATGAGTATCTGCTAATTAATATATTTGATTATTTTGTTTTTTTGCAGATTATATATTAAAGTCACCAAAGAAAAATGTTTTTGAGGTAAATTCTAATTTTATTTGTGATTGATGTTTTAATACCATTTTCGTTAACCTCATGCAACTTATTTTAGTATTATAACGTGTAATAATTTGTTTTTCTTTTTGCAGGTTAAACTCATTTTTTTGAGATAAATTGCTTGGAAGTTAACCTTTTTTTTCATTTTTTTTATATTATTATAAAAACAAATTAATTTGCTTAATATTTTAATTTTTATTCCTCTTAAATTTATTATTGTGGGGTATGGTTTAAAAGATGAAATTTGGTTATGTAATTTATATTTTTAATTGAATTAATTTCACAATATTTTTTTTGTTTTTTATGTCGCTATAGTCGACAGCCAAATACTGCCGATTATACCTGGCTTCCACAGGAAACTATTGCTTAATGTGCAATTTTGGCCAACCATAATCGGTAGTGACTGCTGTCGATTATAGATAATCAACAGTAAACGGCTGTTGGTAATATACATATTCGACAACCAACGGACTGACGATGAAGTTCTTCAATTTTTCGAAAGATAATCGACAGTCAAACGACTGTCAATTATAAGGATAACCATCAGTAAGTCACTGACAGTAATCTACATCTTCGACAGTCACATGTCTGTCAATTAATTTCTTAATCTTTTCCAAATATTATCGACAGACCATAGCAGTCGATTTTTCATATAATCGGTAGTAATTTTCTGTCAATTATAGGTATATTCGGCAGAAAAATGTCTGTCAATTAAACTCTATAATTTTTGGTAAATATAATCGTCAGTAACATTCCTGTCGATTATAAGCATAATCGGCAACTTCACCTGTCGGTTATCAAACTTAATCGACAGAAATTATATTTGTCGATTATATCAATTTTCGACGCTCGTTTTTTTGGCAATTTATTCTGTCGCTTATCTCTATCGGTTATATTATAACCGACAAAATATCTATTATTATCGGCAGTTATACCTGTCGAAAATAACGCGTTTTCCAGTAGTGATTCCCTATAATATTCATCGTATGAAGCTTGGAGCATGCAGCTTCTGGTTCACTAAATACATGGGTTAGAATGAAGTATCAAAGACCCCAACTTCAAAGTTCCAATAAAGTATACCATTTTAGGACTAAACTGTGATGTCCATGTAAATAAAGGATAAAGATCGAAGACATACCTTTTTCTTTTTTTTCGATGGTTACTGGTTAGGGTGTATCTGGTACAAATTTGTACATCTTAAAATTAATTTTTTTTTGGGTGATATAATTATTAAGGGCCTAATCTTTTCATCAGTTTGATGCATTCAAATAAATAAATTTTGTTGGGTGATGACCTTAAATCTTAAATCTTAAAGTTAATTTATAAAATAATACTTATTTATCAATAAATTTATATAATATGTTTGATTCGAGAGAAATGAAATAGAGGGAAGGATTTTTTTACTAATCAAATTACATTTTTAATTATTGCAATTTAATTGGTTCAAAAATCCTCTCCTTCCCTCAAACCAAATATACTATTATTAATATTTTTAAGGTTTGAAAACAAACTTATAAAGTCTAACGTATTTTTGTCCATTATATCAACTACTTGGATTTGAATTCATCTTTTGCTAAAAGTAAAATTGTTGGGATTTTTTTTAGCAAATGATATAATTACAATGCATTGTAAAATTTTAAGTTTACAATCATAATGTATCATTAAATGGGAGGATGAGTATAATATTCTAAGTGGATCCTTTAATAAAGAAGTTATCACATAAAATGTTAGTGAAGTATAGGTTGTTCTTGTAAATTTTTTTTAGAGAATAGCTTAAAAACTTACATTTTAATTAATGTTTGCAAAAAGAAACTGTTAAATTAAGTATTTCAAATTGATTTAACATTTATAACCTATTGATTAAAGAAATTATATTTAATAACATATATTTAATGATGTTAAATTTTGTACAATCAACAAACTGTTATGTTAGTAAATCAATTTGAAAATTAATTTGCATTATCTATATAAATAAAATATTTAATCCATTAATTGGTTTTTTTAATAATAATAATTAAAATATCATATATTTTAGAATGTCCTTCAAGGGAACGTCTTGTAAAACTCTTTTTCCCATTTTATAATAACTTATAATTATAAGTTTACAATGTCATATGACATTATAATTATATCATTTTCTGTTCTTCTTCTTCCTTTTGGTTTGGATGATCAACGTCTCTTATGCTAGTTTCTATGTATCTTGAGACATCTCTTCATGAACAATCTTAGAGGCATGCCATCATATCGACATGGTGCATTCATAAAAAAGTAATTTCGTTAAGTGTTGATTCAAAACTTGAACTTTATTGATATGCTTCAAGGGTATATGAAGGTGCATTGGACGAGGGACTAAGTCTTCATCAAGCAAGACAAGGAATTCCCATGGTAAGAGAAAAATTAGTTCCAAATCTATTGTAGAAGAGTAGAGCCTCGAAGGTGTTGGTTGATACTGTAGGTTTGGCTTTAGCTTGCATGGCTATGGACCATGCTCCACATATTGGATGATCTCTATGAAAGAATAAGGCAACAACTTGTGGGAAGGGGACTATTGTTGTTGTGCTCCCTTGCTCTCCTCTCCAAATTGGCTAAATAGATGAGAATGTCAAGAAACTTAGAAGGCAGAAGTTGCAATTCAGCCCCTCTACTTCAATTGTTGTGGCATATCAGCCCCTCTACTTAAAAGGAGGGCAAATAAGCCCCTTTACTCGTCAAAACCTGCAAATCAGCCTTTTTGTTGACGATGACATCATAAAACGTCAACTTTCCGTCTGCCTTTCTATTTATTCGTTAACTAACGCCTACTTGGCATTGACCGAGACATGACTGGGCAAAAATAACACAACCTGGATTTTTTTTTATTTTCCTTAGCTCATGTGGCAAGCTAATTGATTGAATGGAAAAAACATTTTACTTCACAAGGAATTCAATTATTTAGGATTCAAACATATCAACCTTTAGACCTCAAGGAACATTAATGCATCTAATCTTTTTTTAGAAATTATCAAAATTAGGAAAAAAAATTAAAAATCACAAAAAATTAAAAGCAAAGATAAATTTTTGTAACCACAAAATTCATAAACATTGAGAAATTGAAAAGGTAAATCCAGCTTTTTATTAAGCCCTCTTTCTTAGTCCTATTTCAATCTATTGTCTTATCTCAATCCATCAATTACAAATTCAACAAATATAGAAACATAATCAATGGAGATATCCTAACTAAATAAATATGAAAACTAGAGCATCTCAAACACTACTTCTTTCATTAATCCAAGCTAGATAATGAACACCTCAAAGCAGTCAATTAAGTAACAATCATCTAGTACAACACAAATACATATGGAATTAAACATAGTCAATTAATCTCACTTCCAACATTAAATGAAATATGCAAATCACATATTAGGGCACAATACCCAATCAAGAACAGAGGACCAATGGACAGAGCACAACTAGCAACTTGAGATTTTGGCAAGATTGGGATTAGCACAAGTAAAAATTTGAACAGCCATGAATCCTTTCTTACAATTACCCCTTTTGCTTGCATCGTAAATCACTTAGGATATCTTACAGCAAAAGTGACATGGTTGCCCTAGTTCAATCTAGATTTTGTGAACCTAGAAATCTGTGGTTTAATTTGGGTTCCACAAACCTAAAAAACTAGGTTTTATCGAACTAGATCTGGAAATTTATATAGAGAGAGACAGGGACGAGAAAGAGGGCCGAGAAGAGAAACAAAATCCAAAAGAAGAAGGGAAGAAGAGAGCATCAAAAAAAAGAGAGGGAAAGGAGAGAAAAGAACACCAATTTGTATGAATTTGATTAGAGGGCGACTTGAAGATTTGATCGAAAATTGGGGGCTTGGGTTCTTTGACATCTTCAACATTAGTTTCAATGTTTTTGCTTGAAATTTTTGAAAAGTGAGAGTGAAGCTAAAGATTGGATTCAAGATGAAGGGTTTGGAGTTTAGAACTAGGGTTGATGGGAGAGGATCGGGAAAATGAAAAAGAACTAGGGAAGAAGACAATGCTAGATGGGTTTTATGTAATTTGTAAATAATTTGATTTAATAAATAATTAAAATTATTATTAATTCGTTCTTCTTCATCCAAGTCATTGCCAAGTCATCCCTAATTAACAAGACAATAGAAAGGCAAATGAAAAGTTGACGTTTTATGATGTCATCATCAGCAAAAGGGTTGATTTCCAGGTTTGTCAAGTAGAGGGACTGATTTGCCCTACTTTTAAGTAGAGGGGCTGATATGCCACAACAATTGAAGTAGAGGGCTTGAATTCCACCTTTTGCCAACTTAGAATGCCTATTGTGACTTTTTTCTCTATAATATGTAGTAGCCCTATTTATATCCATATAATTAATTGTGCATGCAATTTCCAGTTATAAATAACCTTCTTTATTTAATATCTATATTTGATATGTATATAATTTAAATCTATCACTAATAATGTAAGTTATGCTTTTATCTTTAAGTTAAATTGTCTTCTTTTTTTTTTTTTTTTTTTGAGATACAAATCTAATTTCTTTAATTATTAATAAAATCTTTATTTTTCATAAAAAAAATTAAAACTTTAAATTTTATCTATAAAATAATATTTATTTACTAATACATTCAATATTTGAGTTTATTAGATTAGGATGGTTCAAATTCTTAAGCTGTTCGTTTTCAGAGTTTAGTTGCCAATACGCTCGTTGATACGCAATTTAAAAGCAGTATTGTACGTTCTAATTAGATTTAGTGGCATGTCGCGTTAGACAGAGGCAACTCTCCTCTCTCTAACTTTTTTTATCCAAAGCCATGGGTTTTTTTAAGTAACGTATGTTTTGCAAGATTCTTTTTAGAGAATA